TCGCTCTGGTCCAGGTGGATGCCGTGGACCGGATGTTTGTGTCCTCCCAAAATGTGTATATTAAAATCCTAATTGCAAAAGTGGTGGTTTTAGGTGGGGGCCTTTGGGGGTGATGAAATTATGAGGACAGAGCCCTCGCAAAGGGACCCAGTGAGCTCCCTGACCCCTCACTGACTGGGGAGCACACACCAACTCTGCTGGTTCCTTGATGTTGGACTTAAGCCTTCAGAGCTGTGAGGAGTAAAAGTGTCTGTGGTTTAAGCCCCGTGCTTTGTGGAGGGACCCAGAAGGAGGCTTGTTTCCTTACGTCCTCCGGCTTCCACAAGCGGCTCCTTCCTAGGCTGCGGCCTGTGACCAGCGATCCTGTCACTCTTGCCTTAGCTTGTGTCACCGCCTGTTTCTCGGATTCTCGTGTCTCCCTGTTGAGCTTGTAAGGCCCCGGGGGATTACATCGGGCGTACCAGAGGGCCCAGCATAGTGCTCCTGTGTCCTGTGCCTTGCTCACATCCCCCAGTACCCTTTGCCGTAGTGTGACATGTGGCCAGCTTTGGGGTCCCTTACACTCCCCCCACAGGCTGTCCACAAATGTGAACCCATGAAGGTTCACGTCTCACTCCCACCACTGCCTTCCTGCGATACATTTACCACTTTCAGTATCCCATTTCTCCCCTTTCTTGATTGACCTCCTCATTTTGCTAGAGGTAACGCTTCTGAGTCCTCGGATGTGGGAGAGTTTCTATATTTCTCCTATATATTTATTTGACAATTTGACAGTAAATAGCACCCACCTTAAATTGCTTTTTTCCCAACACTTTGAGTGAGCTATGCCATTGATTCCCGTCTGTTTCTCAGACCCATTCTCCTTTCTGAAGGCTTTAGCGTCTTTTGTTCTTGAAGGTGTAAAGCTTGATAGTAATGCATCTAAGTATGCAGTCGTTTTCATTCATTCATTTAAGACTGAAGTTTTCAGTGTAAATATAAGACCTCGTACACCCCCCTCTCTTAACTCTGATGTCATTCTGCTGCCCCCCGTGCTCACCTTGCTGCAGCCGCACTAGATCCTCTCTTCTTGAATATGCCTCGGGGCCTTTGCACTGGCTGTTCCTTTTGTGTGGAATGCTCTTTCCTCAGATATCTGCAGGGCTACTTCCTTATTAGCTCCTCAGGTTTGTTCAGATGTCTTGTCCTGAATTGTCATGTTGGTCTAACTGCCCTGTGTAAAATTGTGATCCACCCCCTGCCCCAGCATCTAAACTCTTCTAATCCTGTTCTCTCTCTCTCTTTCTCTCTTTTTTAAAGATTTTAATTATTTATTCATGAGAGACACAGAGAGAGGCAGAGACACAGGCAGAGGGAGAAGCAGGCTCCCTGCTGGGAGCCCGATGTGGGATTTGATCTGGGACTGGGATCATGTCCTGAGCGGAAGGCAGATGCTCAAACACAGAGCCCCCCAGGCGTCCCTAGTCCTGTTATCTTGATTTATTTTCTTCACTAACCTATTAGTAAATAAATATTTAAATATTTAAACTATGATATTGTAAAATTATATTTGGTCTTTGTTCCTGGATCCAGGCCAGAGCTCCTAAAACCCTTGTAATTTCCTAAGTGATAAGAGGGATTAGAACACCTTTTGTTATAAAATTTGGTTTTTGTTAATATGAAAGGAGCAACTTTTGTTATTGATAACAGACTTTTTTCAACCACACTTTATTTTATGTTAATGAAGTGGCTTTGGAAAGCCTCTAAGGATGTCAGGGGAATCAACCATGTGCAAGTCTGCACCCCTTTTCCCATACTTTGCTTTATGCATTCCCTCTGTCTGTTCCTTAATTGTATCTTTTTTATAATAAATCACTAATCTAGTGAGTAAACCCTTTGCCTGAGCTCTGAGAGCCATTCTAGCAAATTGTTGAACCCAAGCATGGGGCTTGTGGGTACCCTTAACTTATGGCAGATCGGTCAGAAGTACTGGAGGCCTCGATCCCCCGTTGGCATCTGAAGGGCAGCTTTGTAGGGCTTAGCCCTTCACCTTTGGGATCTGACACTAACTTCAGGGGAATAGGTGAGAACGGAGTTAAATCGTTACACAGGCGGCCAGTGTTTTCAGAGAATTGGAGGATTGCCTGGTGAGGAAAAATACACCAGCACACGTACATACATATAGTGTGTGTGTGTGTGTGTGTGTGTGTGTGTGTGTGTGTGTGTGTGGTCACACATGCCAAGTTGTCCTTTGTGTGCATGCCCCTGTGTCCGTTTCCAGGGCTCCCGCAGACTCCGGTAGACCGCAAAGCCTAGGCCGGGGGAGTTTCCTTTCTCAGGTCTGCAGGATCACAGTCAGAAGCAGAGGCCCCGGGGAGCAGGACTGGTGGCTGACCTGCGTCCTGTCCCTGAGTCTTCACATGCTCCCCTGGTGCCTCTTCTGGGAGAGCACCAGTTGTGTTGGGGTAGCGCCCACCTCATTTTGGCTTAATTACCTCCTTACGGATCCTATTTACCAATACAGTTGGACTCTGAAATACTGGGGGCTAAGTCTTCAGCAAATGAATTTGGGGGTGGGGAGTGGGGAGGAGACACAATTTAGCTCATGACAGAGTTACTGTCAGTATTATTATTTTTGGGGACGCCTGGGTGGCTCAGCGGTTGAGTACCTGCCCCTGGCTCAGGGCATGATCCGTGGTCTCAGGATTGAGTCCCACGTCGGGCTCCCTGTCTGGAGCCTACTTCTCCCTCCGCGTACGTCTCTGCCTTTCTCTCTGTGTGTCTTTCATGAATAAATAAATAAAATCTTAAAAAAAAGGCAAGCTGCCTTTATAAAAAGAAAAATATTGTGTTTTATGCTCTGTCTCCCCAGCTAGAATGTTAGCTTCCTGAAGGTGAGCAGTGTTGTTGTCGTATTTTAGTATCTACCTGATACCGAGTGGTCTAGCCCCTGAGGAGTTCTTTCATCTTGAACACTCCTTTGATCTCTGGAAAATTCTCTTATTTCATGGATTTTGTGTCCCCCACTTCCAGTTCTCTGTCTCACCTTTCCAGTACTCCCACTAATTAAAATCTGGACCTACTTGATTGATCCTACTTGTCTCATCTTCAATCTGTTCTACTATTTTGGAATATTTCTTCAATCTTAGCTTCTAAACACTTCTACGAAACACTCCCTATTTTGATAGACGTATGTCCAGCCCTAGAGCCCTCTGCTTGGTCCTGCCCCATGGCCTTCTGTCATTGTTCTAGGGGTGCTACACATTTGTCAGTCTTTCTTATTATGCCTCTTGTCTTCTGAATTTTCAGTTTCTTCCTAGGCCATTCTTAAAGTTTTGCTCTTGCTCTTCACATGGCTTAAGCATTTCTCACCCAGAATTACCTGGCAATCATCTTCTTCAAATGGGACAATAAAAGACTAGGTTTATTTTAGGGGTGGGATCCTTTCTCCTACTGATATCACTTAGTGATGAGATGGCAGTTACTTCGATGCCCCCTTCAAGGAAGAGCGCGGAGGTCTTTGGTTTCAGGGGCAAACACCAACGCTGGCCGCCTTAAGTCTCTCGAATACTTTATTCGACTTTCAGGGATAAAAACCTCCCAACTTTTTACCTGGCTGCCATAAATGGGAGTGTGGGGTCCATGGTTTCTCATACGTGCTCTGAATAGTACCCTTGTTGTCAGTCTTTGTTCTCATCACAAGACGTCTGACCTTTCCAGGCCCCAGACTCTGTGGGCCCCCGGGTCCGTTATGCCCCCTGTGGCCGTTGTCCGGACCTGCTCTACTCTCTTCGCCTGCTGTTGCTGCTTCACCTGCACATCATGTTTCACAAACGTATCTTAATCTCTTGTCAGTACATATATATATATATATATATATATACACATACATATATATATATATATATATTTTTTTTTTTTTTACCTTATGTTTCAGGGTGTCTAAGGAAGTTTGAGGAAAGATAACTTAGTCATCAGTTTGCTTGTCTTGAATTAAGAGTCTTCGGTCTTGTAAATAATTGAACACAGGGAACAGAATCTGAACTTACTTTGATGGTGTGGATCTTCACTGTAAACTTCCGTTATTGTCACGTTCTCCAGGTTGTCAAAATTCAGATGTGAGACATGGGGCTGTTTGTACACTTAAATCCAGTGGTGATTGCTTGGAGTTGATCACCCGGCAGCAGGACTACAACCTCTCTAGTTTTCTCTTGGTAGATTACCTTCCTGCCATCCATCTACTCTTATTGTCAAGGCTTTCTATCTTGAACTTTTCTTTACCTTAAAACATCCTGGTTCCCTGTTCATGCCCCCATGTGTTTCAGATGAAGGGCTGGAGCCCCATCTCCTCTGAAGCCAACTCCTACATTTGCTGTCTGAAGCCCTAGGACTGTTTTCCTGGATCTGCATTTACAAATATATTCAAGTTTTCCTCTTAAAAAACCCCAAAGAAACCAAACCAAGAAACAAAAAACCTTTTTTTCCAGTCTTTTCCCAAAGCTACACTTTAATCAGGCGAAACCGTTTTTATTTCCTTTCTAAGTTTTATCTTCCTTTAAATACAGGTATTGGCTTAGTGTCTGTCTTTAATACTTACTTTCTTGCTCATTTCCTGGGAAATCCTACTTACTCTGATGACTTCAGCCCTCACCAAATCCTAACTCCGTTCCTGAAGAAGTTCTGATGTTTTCTCTCTCACCTACTCATTAGTACCACTCAGTATATTCAAAGACAAACCCATTAATCATGGTCTTCCTCTATCCTCTTACCCTTAAAAAACAAAACAAAGAACCAGCAAACACATTCTCTGTTTTTCCCATGTTGATTGACCTGATTATCATTTTTGAGTCACCCAAGGATCCATTAGAAAGAAATGGTTGTAAAGCTAGAAACCACCCAGAGTTCTTACAGTCCAAGTCACCGTACGGTTAGTGTCAAGTATAAACTTCCTTGCTCTCTAACCTCATAGTGTCCTTTTCCTGCATCTAACCAGACTTCTCCATTTTCCTGATCACACACAGGTCTGCAATCAAGGCCTTACGCCCTGGAGGGTTACTTGTGTACTCTACATGCACACTTTCCAAGGCAGAAAATCAAGATGTCATCAGTGAAATTTTAAACTCCTACAGTAACATCATACCTGTGGACATTAAGGAAATGGCAAGGACTTGCTCCCAAGACTTCACGTTTGCTCCCACTGGCCAGGAATGTGGACTCCTGGTGATTCCAGATAAGGGGAAAGCCTGGGGCCCAATGTATATAGCCAAATTGAAGAAATCATAGACTGTAAAATTGGTCATAAACATTTCGTAAGCCATGTCAGTGCATTATTATATTTATTTTTCTAGGCTATGTGTTAACGTTTAAATAATTATGAAGTCATTTTCCCTCGGTCTGTTTGGAATCTTATTTATTTAATACTTGGCATCTCAGAACCTAGGCTTAAGAATTTTCCAGGTGTATTTTTTTCCTAAGAATGTACCTGTAGCACTGGTTTCAGGTGTTGCAGATGGTGTTTGTTCTGTATAATAAATCTGCTGTCTTTTAGTTGGCATTTTGCAGTTAAATTAATCAGAATATATGGTTTTATGCATAATGTTTAGGAATACATTCAATTTATGATGTTGGTGCTTGTGAACCTTTAAAAATGCACATTTGGCTGTTCCTTTTATAATTTTTCTCATCAAATATACAGATTACTTTCAGACACCCCCCCCCCCCCCGCAACCCTTTTCCTTAAGAACCGATCAGTATTCTTAGACTAACTTCTTAAGCGGCACTATTTCTAGTTCTAGAAAATAGGTTTCTTACTTGCCATGTTGTTTTCTACTAAGGATTATCTTCTGTTTACTGCAAAGGTCAGTGACTCTATTGACACCAGCTTTCTTTCTCCACTTTTTTTGTATTCACAAATACAAATTGAAAGGGTAAATTATGTTGAAAGGCTGTTAGAACAGCAGATTCACATGCACAAGTTTGACTTTCGACATTCAGCTTGTAGAATAATGGAGTCTTTCCAGCAGGCTATAAAGCAAGTACTTGTAACAAAACCAGAATGATTAATAACTGCAATAACTGAACTATATTTGGAGAGTTTTGTTACATAATTGCAGTCATAATGAGCACTACAGAATCTGATTATCTTACAGTCGCAATCTGGAGGGGCTTTTTATTTCACTCTGTTATGAAATGTTATATGAGAGTATGATGTCACGTATTAATGCACAAGGGGGAGATGCCTAATGACAGGGATTACACTGTTACCAAAACCCAATACCATTTGCTAAGTGCCTCTCCCTGTTTACCTATGTCTTGGGAATATTGTGTACATTTCTGTATATGTACTTAGGGTTTTAGCTTCAGGTTTGGATCATGTGTTTTCTCTGGAAATTGCTTCACTTAGAGCCAAATATACTTTTCCAACTATTAAGAAAAATTATGCAGTATACTTCAATAGGTAATTATCTATTTGAAAATTAACTTAAAAAAGAATAAACTGACCGTAGAAATAGAAAATTCTGCTGAAGCTGAATCCTTTTGAATTTGTTTACTATATTTTGCGTATTTAAACCAGAGACTATTTTTTCCTGAACTCTTTTTTTTTTTTTTTTTTTAATTTGCAAGCATACATAAGCAGTTTCTTATAGCTGGGGAAGAAAAGGCTAGATCTCTTGGACTCAATGAAATAATCTGGATGCATACAAAAAATATAAAAGACAATGGAAATTATATTTACTTACTAAGTTTGTACTTGTTAGTTTTTTTCAGTTTAAAACTTTGTCTTCAGATACTGTAGGTTTAAAAGTGTATTTATTCTGTGTAGGTTAATCACAAAGTAAATTTTCCCAGTGCACTTTGCTGAATGTCATTGTTTTTCCCCCATGCGGCCATGAAGCCTAATCTGAATACTCAGTATGCCTTTGGATTTGACGTTCCTATGATTACTGAAAAATGCAAATATAGGTGCATATTTAACTTACTTTATTATTAATATTAATTATAATGAAACAGTTGGCATTTATGGAGCGTTAAATATTTGATTAAGTTCTTTATATATATATATGTTATTTTTTTGGTCTTTTTTTTTAATTTATTTATGACAGTCACAGAGAGAGAGAGAGAGAGAGAGAGAGAGAGAGAGGCAGAGACACAGGCAGAGGGAGAAGCAGGCTCCATGCACCGGGAGCCCGACGTGGGATTCGATCCCGGGTCTCCAGGATCGCGCCCTGGGCCAAAGACAGGCGCCAAACCGCTGCGCCACCCAGGGATCCCCTTTTTTGGTCTTTAAAACAGCTTAAGGAGTATTATACCTGCCTTTTGTGAATGAGAATAGCCTAGCTCGGTGCAGTTTGTAGCTTTGCCAGGCAACACTGGTAAGTAAAGAGTAGAGCCAAGACTAAAACCAGCTGCAGTGGCCAGGGCCCACTCCCCATACTATGCTGCCTCAGAAGAAGCAGATTATAGGAACCCCCAAGGTTGCCAACTGGCCCTCCCTTGTCCTAGGTTATCTTTGCACTTGTAGGCAGTTCTTTAGTCACAGAGGATCAAAGGGTTAAACCAATCCTTGAGGGGTAAAAAAACTGCAGTATTTCAGAATGTGTTCTAGACTACTTCTTGGGGTTGCAGTACCCAGAAATCTCCCATGGAGGTGCTCTGTGCCTTCCCTTTCTTCGCAGGTGCTGAACTGAAGAATCGAAATTTGGAGCAGCCTTGCAATGTCATTTGAAAAGCAAGGAGTAATTGATATTACTTTCTGTGGCACTGAGTTACTTTCAAAATAGCTTTGTAAGAATTTAGGTTGCTTACCAACACATTAACTTCTCTCTGCCTTCAGCACACTGAATAGCCACGAGTTTCAGAAATACACTATGAATAAATATAATGCATTTAAATGGTTTATACTGAATTTTTAAAGCATTTGATATTATCTGTGGTTTGAAATCAAGGCGGCCTACCGTCCTTTATCCTATTATATGTATCCATATAGCCTCATATTCAAGATTGCATGTTACTCCCTTAGCAATATTGTGAGAAATATCCTTGCATACAATGTGAGTAGGCGTAACATAATAGGTAACCAGAACACTTCCTACATGACTAAATAAAGTAATCCCCAGTCTAATAGACCATCATCCAAGAAGGCTTTATACCTGGAAGATAAGCATCAGATGATCTGCATAGGCTAATGCAAATCCTGTGGAATACAAAGAGAATCGGAACCAATAGCAACAGTTTTATTAGATGCAGAGAAGTCCTTTGATGCAATTGAATGGGACGACTTGTATTATGTGTTAGGTAGATTTGACTTTGGGGACAAATATAGCAGCACAACCCATTTGTGTGGTTCAAATCAATGCTTTACAATCTCCCTTTCCTTGCCTTATTGCTGCATTGGGGGGTGAGTAAAGATGGTACCCATTACTGATGTTACCTTCCAGGCTGACATTGGAGTTATAATATCACTCAGATCCCATGAGTACCTGAAGGATACTCAGATGAAGGTTCACAAATTAACTAATGTCTGCTGATAACGTACTACTGTGTGCTCAAAGCCCTAACAGCATCTGTCCTGAAAACATTAAAAGCAATGTCAGTATTTGGAATGGCTTCAGGCTGCAAAGTCAATGGGAAAAAATCAGAAATACTATCTTAACAGAAGAGTATTAATATTACTTGTTGTGTGACATTTAAAATAAAATAAAAATTTAACAAGAATTGATTTGGGATCCTCTTTAGGGAATGACTAAACAATAGAATTAAAAAAAAAAAAAGTTAAAAACATTGACCTGTAATTCAATGCTCAGATTTTTAAAAAGTAGGTTTCACTAAATCTAAGGAGGAAGAAAGCCTGGTAAAGCATATATACCTCTTTAAAATTTAATTAGCTCACTCAGATGTTAACTCCATACCTTTCTGTAGCTTATCACAAATGAAGACAGTAATTTTCCTGATCATGTGAGATCATAGAGTCACGTAGAAACTGAGTAAAAGCAGATGCTGCCTTAGAAAAAGGAGGTTCTGCCTCACTGGAAGCTATTGGATGGCATACGTCACGACTCAATCAAGCTTGCTATGGCTTGTCAGAAGGAATTTTCTGCTGCATATTGCAGTGGAAGAGCCTATTACACACAAATAACTGTACGACCTAGCAGAATCAACAGAGACTAAAAACATACAGACAGCCTATTGAAAAATAAGCAACAGGCCCCAGTTTCTAACTAATTCTTAAAAACAAATAGGAGTACAATTGCAGCTATTAACAGGAAAGGACAAAGTCAGGAGAGGTTAGCATTGGTGACAGGAAAGGGGACTGAGCTCGTTCCAGCTTCTAATCACTAAGCTATGGAGAGAAAGACTTCGTTCACTCATCCGCACACACGAGGTATTAGCAACCTTAGCATAACCAGGAAACCACCTTCTCCTGGCATTACATCACATTACGTTAATGGTCGGGGTGAGGGGCGGAGAAATGAGAGGACCAAGGGCCCAGGGCTGACTCATGAACTGTTGTTAGCGCAGATGGATTAGCGTGGGCTTGCAGTTCATAACTGCCGACTTCTAAGAGAAAGGAAAAAAGGACGTGATGGTGGCAACTGGCTCTGACGCTCCTGGAAATTGTCGTGTGTGATACAGCCCTGGATGGCCAACTGGCTGTACCATGTTGCCACAGATCGGTATCCCTCTTGACTTGATGATAAAAAAACTTCAGTTTAGGTTTTAAATTATAACAAATGTGTTAAATAAACATGACAGATATGCACAAACTACCTGTGTTCTTCCTTTAACAAAAAATTGGCTTTTGTCATATAGTCTACCACCGGTCATCTCTGTTAAATCTTCTGTATGAAGCCATAGCTGTGCCCATAGACAGATGATTTCCAGCCACCTAGTGCACCTGACCGTACGAGTTAGCAGGTGCCTTTCTCGCCCCACAGCATCGAGTTGGCTGAAGCAAGTTCAGGGAGTTTCGCAAGAGGTGACCGTGAACCAGGAGAATGGTTCAGGAGAGGGTTAAGGAGGACTTGGAGTATCACTCGGGGGGAGGGTCTAGATTGAGTCAGTCAAGCATGTTTCACAGCGAAGGACACTAGTAGGCCTATAGGGCTGTAGGACACACTGCCAGGACGCACGTCCACTTGTGTGTTCATCTGTCTGGGTCACACCCTCCGCATTCACTGAGGACTTTGCGTCTAGCTCATACCTTCTCCGTCGGAACTCCTGGCGTGTCACGGCTGAATTCAGCACCTTTATGGGAAGCCCATTCGGTATCCTACCTTTCCGGTTCTTTGCCTCCCTCTCTCGATGGCTCTCACCTCCATTGCCTTCAGTATCTTACATTCTTGGGCATTTCCTTGAACTTGGCGTTATCTACAGGCACACTCTGCAATGGAGCTTTCTACGGGATGGCAGTGTCTTACCTGCCCTGTGCGATACGGACAACATGGTAGCCACGTGTGGCACCTAGTGTGTAGCTAGTGTGACAGAGGAACATACCGTATATTTTTATGGATTTAAATGCAAGTATCCACCTGTGGCTATAAGCTACC